CCCCGACCCTGTCGCGGCCCTATCGCGGCCCTCCCCCTGCTATGCCCCGACCCTGCCCAGGCCCCGCCCTCCTCATGCCTGTCGTGGCGCACCAGGGGCCCGTGCACCGCCCCCCCCCCCTTTTCCCGTCGCCTTGCGTGGCGAGCGGGGGGGGGGGGGGCGCGGCCTGGGGGGCGCGCGTCGCCCCTTCTTCCGCCTGCTCTGCGCCCTGGGAGGCCGCGTGCGTCGGCCCCCGTACTCCTCCCCTCCCCCCCCCCCCCCCCCCCCCCTCAGGTCGCCTCAACAGGCGACGGGAGGGCGACCTGGGGGCCGCGGGGCGTCGGAGCAGCCGCCCCTGGTGCCAGCCGCCCCTGGAGCAGCCGCCCCTGGACCCAGAGCAGCCGCCCCTGGCCTCTGGAGCAGCCGCCCCGGGCCGCGCGTCGGAGCAGCCGCCCCTGGTGCAGCCGCCCCTGGAGCAGCCGCCCCTGGACCCAGAGCAGCCACCCCTGGCCCCTGGAGCAGCCGCCCCGGCCCCTGGAGCAGCCGCCCCTGGTGCGGCCCTGGACCTCTGCAGCCGCCCCTGGACAGCAGCCGCCCCTGGTGCAGCCGCCCCTGGAGCAGCCGCCCCTGGTGCAGCCGCCCCTGGACCTCTGCAGCCCCCCCTGGAGCAGCCGCCCCTGGTGCAGCCGCCCCTGGTGCAGCCGCCCCTGGAGCAGCCGCCCCTGGTGCAGCCGCCCCCTGGAGCAGCCGCCCCTGGTGCAGCCGCCCCTAGACCTCTGCAGCCGCCCTGGAGCAGCCGCCCCTGGTGCAGCCGCCCCTGGTGCAGCCGCCCCTGGTGCAGCCGGCCCCTGGTGCAGCCGCCCCGGGAGCAGCCGCCCCCCTGGTGCAGCCGCCCCTGGACCCCGCGCCGCCGCCCCTGCCCGGTGCCGCCGCCTCCCTGTACTGCCCGTTGCTGCTCTCCCCCCCCCCCCCCGCCCCTTCTTTCGTCTCCCTGCTGCGCGTGCAGCCGTGGTAAGGAGGGTAATGGGGGTGGCGGGTATGGGGGGTGATGGGTGGTATGTTTCCCTTCCCCTCCTCCTCCTTTGTCTCCCACTGCTGCAGCTGGCCGCTGAGGGGGGTGGATGTGTGGGAGCCAAAGGCGTGGTGCTAGGGGTGGGGGTGTGAGTGAAACCTAGGGGTGCAGCAGGGGTGTGTGAAATGGGGGGTGCGGCAGTAGAGGGAGGTTGGGTGGAGGTAGCTGTCGTTGTCGTCCGCAGCACCTGTAGTCCGGTGCGCTGTCCTGGTAGCCCAGTCGTAGCCAGCTGCGCCAGTCGCCCGTGGGTCCGTTGCTCCTGCCGCCTCGTCTTAGCCGCGGAGCCAGTTACTCCTGTAGTCCGGGCGCTGTTCCGGTAGCCACTGTGCCAGTGTGACTCCTGTTGCCCGTGTGTCTGCAGCTTCAGCCGTCGCCTTCCTATCTCCTCTCCTCTTACAGTCCCGCCTCCTCCTCCTCACTTGCCCTCTGTGATAGCCTCTAGCTTTACTTATTTATTGTGAATTTAAACTGTTACTTTCTTGTACTTGTGCTCAGAATGTGTGGTGACATTGTGATCCACCCTGAGCTTGCTTTGCTTTGCTTCTTGTGCTGATCATACCCCACTTTGACTATGGGGGTGTGTCAGAATATCATGTTTCTCTAGTCTGCAGTGGGTACTCAATAGTGAGTACAACCCTGTTAGGGTTTCCTATATGTACTCCATTGCTTTCTAGTGCATTCATTCTCTCGTTCATTCTCACAAGAGGTCCACTAGTGATCCCCCGATTGATGCTAGGAAAGGGTTACAGACACGTTGGCCTAGAGGGTTATGTGCGCACATCACCCGCTGTACAACAAGCCATTTTATCCCAGTGGTTAGTGGTCGGGATTCTGACATGAGGCTCCTCGTATCGCCTTCGACTTTCCGATTGCCAAACCTGAACCGAACCTCATTTCCCGAGGTTTCCCTCCTAGCTAGGGTAGTCACTATATAATTGCATGCCTTCATTATATTGTCAGTTCATCAAGTCACATCTTCGTTATTCGTTATCTTGCGCTCTCCCTTTTACAACTCGTAACAACTACCATATAGGTTTCATGAATATTTTTATGCTCCACAACCTCTTCGGATTTCTTTAGCAGTACTACTGGTACTAAACTGACCATCCTTCTTCAACCGAGATTCCTTATTGCGTATGAGCCACCCATTCCTTTTTCCTACCCCGACCAATCCAGGGCGGCATTCACGGCTGACTGCCAGCCATTCCCGAATTCACCTATGGCTTTCCTCCCTCAAAATTAGTCCAGCGTAATCCGTCGCATTCGCATCTCGTCATGGAGCAGATTCCCGCCGTCGCCAGCACGTCCGCCGAGGCGATGTATCGCGATGTCGTGCATCGCCGCTGGGCGCGCGCCTTTCTCTTCCACCTGCTCTCCATCGGCCCCTTCCTCTTCCTCTGGGCCGCGCCGCTCGTCGTCCGCGCGGGCCTCCTCCCATCGCTCCTCTCCTTCTTCTCGCTGCGCCTTTACCTCGCTTTCGCGATTTTTGATCTTTCGCAACTTCTTTTCGTTCTAGCTCACCACGCCATCGTCGTCGCAGACGCCCCTCCCCTCCCCTCCACTGCCTCCCTCCTCTCTTCCGCCGCGAATCTCGCCGGATTTGCCGGCATATCAGATCCACGCCCGTTCGTGCACCAAGACCAACAGATTCGCGCATCGCACGACGGGTTTCGCGGGCCCGCCAGCCAATGGGAGGCGGAAGCGGCTCGGGCGACGCTAGCTGGCCGCGCCAAGTTCGCTTCTCTTTGCGCCGCGGCGGGCGCCGCAGGTGCGATCGCGCTCTCGCTCTTCCGCGCGCAGCTTCTGGGCAGCACGGCGGAGACCGAATCCAACGACGAGTGGCGGCCAGACGGTTGGGCCGTGGCGGGCGAGGCGGGATTCGGCGGCGCGGTGGGGGTGCTGTTCGCGGCGTACCACGTGGTGCGGCGCGACTACCTCCTCGCGTTCCCCGTGCTGCAGGTGCGCCGCGCAGCTGCGCTCCACCCCGCCCACGTGTAGGTCTCTTCCACAAATGCGCCTTCATTCAATTGCCGCAGCTGCCGTGGTGCACGGCTACAAGGCGAGGGCAGCTGAGAGTTGGGAGTTGGCCGCGGCAGTGCTGCACTCCATGACTCACCTCTCTATGCCTGTCTAAACCCACAACCCTATTGCCGCCCTCTCTATGCCATCCCCCATACCCCTTACAGCGCGCCCCGTTCTACCGATTCAAGACGACCCTCCCGCGCTGCGCCACGTCAGCAGCCACATTCGGGTGCATCCACCGCGCTCCTCTACTCCCTCCTGCTCCGCCACGCTCCTGCTGCCGCTCCTCGCCACCGCCACCACCACCGGCCACCGGCATCCCGCTCACCTTCCTCGCCGCCCCGCCTCTCTCCATCCGCGCACTGCTGCTCTCTCTGCTGGCCCGCCTGCACGGCGTTGGCGTTCCTGGCCTTCTCCTGGGAGGCCGCTGCGGCCGCCGACGAACATCTTCCTCACCCACCCACCTCTTCCTCCCCCCGCGCCCTCCTCCCCCTCCTCCCCCCCCTCGCCCCCCTCCTCCTCGCCCTCTCCCCCTCCCCCTGGCCCCGCAACTCCTCCATCCCCTGTCCCCCTGCCCCTCCTCGCCTGCCCGCCTCGTGCTCCACTGGGCGCTGCTCGACCTCGTCGCTGCTCGCCGAATCAGAGGCTGACACGTGCGCCGAGCGCTGGCGCTGTTTGAGTCGCAGGAGGCGTTACAGCGCAGTGGTGGCGGCGTGCATCCGCCCCCATCGATGCCATGATGGCCCGAGTCGCTGCTGCTGCTGGTATCCCACCGTTACCCACTGCACTGCAGCAGCAGCAAGCAGCAGCATTATTCCTTACAGTCACCCACGGCTGCATTCACAGCAGCCGGTTTGCCTCTGCTGAAGGGATGAGATGGCGGCAGGGGAAGGGCGGAGGGGAGGGGGGTGGAGGGGCAGGCGCTGCAAGGGGGAGAGGTCTTGGGAAGCGGCGCATATGGTGGGGTTTCGGGGGGCCAGGGGGGAGTGGAATGGGCGGGGGGGGCGTGGAGGGGAGGAGGAGAGCGCCCAGCGCAGCTGAGGTGTTCTTTGACTGGCAGGTGAGCGGGCGGCAGGTGAGCGGGCGGCAGGTGAGCGGGCGGCAGGTGAGCGGGCGGCAGGTGAGCGGGCGGCAGGTGAGCGGGCGGCAGGTGAGAGGGCGGCAGGTGAGAGGGCAGCAGGTGGGGTGATGGCAGGTGGGTGGTGATGGCAGGTGGGGTGATGGCAGGTGGGGTGATGGCAGGTGGGGTGGCGGCCGAGGTGGCCCAAATGCCACACCATGGCAAGTCATGCGATGCCTTGCCATGCCATGAGATGTCATCGCAATCACATCACACCTCGTGTTGCGTCACATGCATGGGTTTCTGCACGCGGCGCAAAATGGCTCCTGATACCTCCAACCGCCACAGCTGCTGTCCCTCCCCCTTTCCTCTCCGCCATGCTCGACCCGTGAACCCCCGACTCTCCGATCCACTTCCTCCATACCCCTCCACGTCTCTCCCCGCACACCTGCTGTGTGTCATGAGCATGCGCGCGCTGGCAGCGCTGACAGCAGCGTCGCGGGGGGAGGACCGCATGGGCGTGGCGCAGATGGCGGGCGCCAACGCCGCGGCGCTTTCCGCGCTGCTCTCTGCACTGCTCGCCCTTGACTCGCTCCTCCTCTCCCCCTCCCACCGCCACCCCGCCGCCCCCGCCACCTTCTCTGGCTTTGGGGAAGCTTCCTCGCAAGCGACTCCTCCAGGTGCCTCTCAACCTGCCTTCTCCCACCAGACCTCGGTTCTAGCTTCAGGAAGCGGGGGATTATTTGGCACACCGACCCTCGGTCTTAGGTATGGAGGTGCTGCAGCAGGTGGTTCGGACGTACCAGGCGAGGGAGCAGGGGGCGGGGCGGTGGGGAGAGCTGTGTACAGCGAGGGGGTGGTGGGGCCGGTGTGGGGCGAGGCATGGGCCATGGCGGATGTGGTGCGCACCTCTCTGTATTGCATTGCAGAGACGTTTGGGGAGGAGATGGTGGAGAAGGCGGGTGGAGGGATGGGAGGAGGGAGGGGGGGAAGAGGAGGCGGTGGGGCAGGTGCTTGGAGGGTGGATGAGGCGTGGTTGCCTGGGGACATGCGACCCTTGTTTGGTTCGAGAGAAGCTCATGCAGCCAAGGTGCTGTCGCTGCTGGCACACACTGAGTAGCGTGGTACAGTACAAGGCAGTGCTGTTTTGTGCAGTTGTTGATTCATCATGAAGGCATGTGCTTACATGATAATCTGTGTGCAGAATGAGCAGCTGAGTGTACCATTATTTGCAATGATGGAATCCTGCACATCTTGTGGATGTGTATTCCGCCCACATATGATGTGAGCAGTTGACATGTGAGCAGTTTTGACATGTGAGCAGTTGACATGTGAGCAGTTGACATGTGAGCAGTTGACATGTGAGCAGTTGACATGTGAGCAGTTGACATGTGAGCAGTTGACATGTGAGCAGTTGACATGTGAGCAGTTGACATGTGAGCAGTTGACATGTGAGCAGTTGACATGTGAAACAAGTTCATTACGCAGTAACGCTGGTACCGTATTCACAATATGGACAAACATGGCAAGCATGCTCCTACAACCATCTAACTTCGGCAGTCCATATCCACACCTCCATCAAAAGCACCGTCTTCCTCATATTTCCCTCTCTCCGCCACACTGCTATGCGCCCGCCACATGCGCCTTGGGAGGGGCCTCACCCCCATGCCCCACCTCCTTCGCCCCTCCCCCCACCCTCCTTCGCCCCTCCCCCCACCTCCTTCGCCCCTCCCCCCACCTCCTTCGCCCCTCCCCCACCTCCTTCGCCCCTCCCCCCACCTCCTTCGCCCCTCCCCCCACCTCCTTCGCCCCTCCCCCCACCTCCTTCGCCCCTCCCCCCACCTCCTTCGCCCCTCCCCCCACCTCCTTCCCTCCACCCCTAGCTTCAGACTCAACCTCACCTTCTCCCTTCACTTCCCCCGTGGCTTCTCCCTTCCCCTCGCCCTCCTCTACCCCCTGGGCCCCTTCCAGCCGCTCTCCTGCAGCCACTGGCGCCACGTCTTGAGGTGCGGGTTGCAGCGCCGCGCATTGCTGATGTCATGACAGCCGAAGTACGTGTGCTGGGAGAACCAGCGGAACATCTGCTCAGGAGGCACAGGAAGGCGGACGGACAAGTGAGAGGGAGCGTGGCATGGCAGCACCCCAGGGGCGCACAAAGGAAACACTCCAACCGTTCCTTCTTCGCCACCCCAGCCTGTCCCCTGAAGCCACACAATGCAGAGTGCGTGCGTCCCTCACCATTCACCCCTCACCTCCCTCCCCCCTCACCTGCGTCCACTCGTCAGAGGCCGCCTTCTCAGTGGTGTGCAGGCGGGCGGGGCGGCCCGTGACGCGGTGGAAGTCGGAGACGTACTGGTGCAGGGGGGCGTGGTAGCCCGCTAGACACATGTACTCGCCCTGCCAGCACGCATGCATCCAGGGGCGCAGCAGAGGCAGCGGGAATGGGAGAGGGTGAGGGGGAGGAGTGAGCAGAGCAAGAACACAGGGGTCAACTCATGGGGGGTAAGCACACGCAGTCAGCACCCACAGCGCAAGCAATCCACTTGGTTTTCCAGTAGAGCCCGGACGGGGCGAAAGCACCTGCCATGGCAGCAACAGCGTTGCATGTGGCGATGCAGGCAGCAGAGGGCGCACTCACATCCCAGTCATGGGGGTGGTCGAGGGCGTTGAGCACGGCAGCACCGGTGTCGTCCACATCGAAGGCCGTGAGCATGTCGTCTGCTGCCATGGGCAGCTCAAAACACCACCGTGCCATCCGCCTCCTCCCTGCACTGCACAGCGTACAGTGGATTGTAAAGCCACATGCTTGTTGTCTCTCCTTCACAGGTTGAATGAAGCCACATGCATTAAGCAGACGGCAACAAGCGCAAGACAAGGCGCGCATGGGCGCACCTGGCGAGGTTGAAGTGGGCGAAGTTCTGGTAATAGAAGGCACACATGACGAATGTGTGGTGCTTGAAGCCGCTCGCCCTCACCACCTCCTCCACCTGCAGCGCCATGGGGGGGAAACGGCACAGTGACGGCCAAGAGGTGCGTGCGAGCTGAGGCGAAACACTCGGGGAACTGATAATAAGGCGCCCATGGCGTGGTAAGGCAGCAATGAGTGGGAGGCAGCGGCAGAGCAGGGAGAGGAAGAGAGTGTGCGGGAGGCGCCGACCTTGGCCTTGTTGGTGAAGTGCGGCACGTTGAGTTGGCCCTTGGAGAGGCGGTGCACGTGGGGCAGTGTGCTCCACACCACGTGCTGCACGCCCGCCCCCCTCGCCTCCTCCACCACTCCCTTCCCCACCTCCACCTCGCGCTCTCCCAGCGAGTAGAAGTCCGTCACCTGCCCAGCAGAGGGAAGGGGAGAGAGCGAGGAGAGAGCAGGGAGAGAGCAGGAGAGAACAGGGAGAGAGCAGGGAGAGAGCGAGAGGAGAAGGGGCGGGGTGTGGTTGGCGAGGTTGGAAGTGATGGTGCCAAGAGAGGGCACAATGCCAAGAGAGGGCACAATGCCAAGAGAGGGCACAATGCCAAGAGAGGGCACAATGCCAAGAGAGGGCACAATGCCAAGAGAGGGCACAATGCCAAGAGAGGGCACAATGCCAAGAGAGGGCACAATGCTAAGAGAGGGCACAATGCCAAAAGAGGGCACACGCAATGCAGATGTGGCGGCGCCCGTTGCAAGGCGCAGAGCAGTGGACGGGATGCGCAGAGCAGTGGACGGGATGCGCAGAGCAAGACAGGGCAGTGAAAGACGTGGTGAACATCAGGAGAGAGTAGCTGGCGCGGGGAGTGGTGTGGTGAAGCAGTTTTGAAGAGACATGCGAAATAGAGCAAAGCATGGCTATGGGAGGCTGCCCAACAACATGCGACTGAGGTGAGCCTTGTACGCGCTACACGCGCTGCTGCCCGCACCGCACGGCACTCACCACGAACGCGCCATAAGCACCCTCCAGCGCCGCGCGCACGGCCTGGCGGTCCGCCTGGTCGGCCTGTGCCACTTCCACCTTGGCGTCCCTCAGATGGGCGGCACGCGGCGAGTCCGCGTGGCGCGTGACGGCGCGGATGCGGTAGCGCCCGCTCGCCAGCAGCGCCGCCACCACGCTGCTGCCCTGCGCGCCTGGTGGCCGGGAGAGGGGAAGGTGGGGATGGCAGGGAGGGCGGGAAAGGATTGCGTGCAAGGAGAGGAGTTAGAAAGACGGACATACGTGAGCGTAAGTAGCGCGGAGAGGCGCGGAGAGGCGCGGAGAGGCTCACCGGTGGCCCCGAAGACGACGATGAGCGGCTTGTCCGGCGCGGTGTGCGGCTCGCCAGAGCGCACTGTGAGTCGGCGGAGGGACGACGTGAGATGCCCCCACATGCTGCCGTGCTGCTGTCGCGACACTCGATGCGACGATTGCGACTATGCGATGAGCGAAGAGCGGGCTGACGGAGGAACGGCACGAGACGGACCGGTGAAGGGCGCGGCGAGTGTGGCGATGACCAAGGAACTCGGTGAGCGCAAGTGAACTGACGCGATAAACAGGGGCCCGCTCGAGAGGCTAAGGACTTGCAGGCGAGTGGGAGGGAGAGCAGCGGAAGGAGTGGGAGGGACTGCCTCGCGGCGCTTCAGTCGAGCGCGTCGTCACCATTGCGGAGGCGCGCAGCATTCGACAGCGACAACGACAGTCCACACTCGTCGACATTGAGAGGCAGCACTACATCACTCGACATTCCTCGTGAAAGTAACGGCGCAGCGCGCCAGGCACTCGCGGCGATTCGGCAATGTGCATTGCATGCGCGGCGTGCGGGTGCATGCACGAGAGGGAGCCGCGTCGGGTGTCTCCATGCGAGCGAGCCCTGCTTGCGTGGCGATTCGCAGCAACGCCGTGGTGTGACGAACGCCAGTCGCTGTGGTGCGCATCTCGCGGGCAAGGAGTGCGCCACGACTAGCATGACAGTAGGGCGAATTGGGCAAGTGCTACGATAAAGGACGTGCATGGGTCTGCCGCAGGAGGCCACTCAACATAGGGCGGCTCACCTCACATTTGTCCACCGTTAATAATGAATTTCCATACTCAATGTGAAGCTTTTGTATGATTTTTCATACTCTAGGTAATAGATAAGAGTATGGCTGGTCAGACCCGCAATGTTACCGTATGAATGAACTTTCAGAATGCGCAGAATAACGAATAACGAGAATTTGAAATTACAGAATGACGATACATCAAAAGTGACGGGATTAAATGGGGGGATCCTAGCTAGGCAGGGAGATTGGGCGAAGGTGGGTCCGGAGGGTTGCAATCGGTGCGGGGGCGACTCGGGAGTGGTTCAGTGCGGGAATGTTGGCCAAACGTGTTGATGCGATCCCCTCAGAATCGTACCCGCTGAAGGGCGAGTACAGTAAGGAATTGTAATGCCGTACCAGGCCCTCAGATATCAGCGTAAAACACGCTGATTAGGCTGATTTTGTAGCTGTGATTTTCGTTTTCCCTGGAAATTCAGCATATGCTTCAATTTTGCACTGAAATTTCAGTATAAACTACCTTGCCACACTGACCATTTTCCGTGTTGCTGTAGAAGTAACACTGACGAATCAGTGTAGTGTCGTGAGTCACACTGAAACGGACTTGACCGATTCGGGGGGGGGGGGGGGGTACGCGTGTGTATAGTATGTACCTGGCCCGGGATTCACGAGACCCCACCCACACACTTGGAGATGCCATGCGCTATACAGCAGATCGCGTGCCGACATGCTTTGCATCGCTGGAAGGAACTCTCACAGCGGCAAACTTTGAGTTGAATTGGTGATTCAACTTTGTTTTTCTTTTTTACACTGATGGTTCAGTCTACTTATGATTTTTACACTGGCAAAATCAGTATAAAAAAAAACCATGAACGCTGATTTGGACACCTGGGCGGCCGGGGCACGCTGATCGATCAGCATACCCTCAAACCAATCTGAGGGCCTGTGCCGTACATCCTCTTAAAATATCCTAGGAGGGAATAGTCTGTCAGAACTAAGAGCACGAATGAATGAACTAAGAGAGTGTTGGGTACAAATAAAAACCCTAAAGGGGTTGTACCCCACGTTGGCTACCCCACTACAGCCTACACAACATAAGTAGCAGTATAGTTTGACACATCCCCATAGGCAAAATGGGGGGGAACAAGGGGTCACAAGACCAGTCAAGAAAAGCAATGCAAGCTCAGGGTGGATCACAAAGTCACCACATATTTTGAGCACAAGCAAAGGGCCACAAGGCCAGTTCACATGCAGAGGTATATATGTAATAACAACAGTACAGTGATCTGTCAGAGGTCCACTGATGATCCCCGATTGATCCTAGGGAAGGGTTACAGGCATGTTGGCCTGGGGGGTTATGGGCGCACTGACCCGCTACTTAACAAGCCCTTTTATCTCAATGGTCTAATGGTTGGGATTCTGACATGGTATCAGAGCGAAGGTCTCGGGTTCGAATCCCAGTGTATGCACTTCGGGCATCCCAGTGCGGGGGGGTGTCAGAGGTCCACTGGTGATCCCTGATTGATCCTAGGGAAGGGTTACAGGCATGTTGGCCTGGGGGGTTATTGGCGCACTGACCCGCTACTTAACAAGCCCTTTTATCCCAATGGTCTAGTGGTTGGGATTCTGACATGATCACTACCTAGCAAGAGTGAGAATACAGGTAGATATAGAAGAAGATCACAGTACAAGCAAAGTCTACAGCAAGTGAGGACACGAAGGCACCAGTCCTAGAGCAGTGCAGAAGCGCTGATGATCACCAGCCGGAAGGGCCTTGGTGAACACATCAGCCGTGTTGGCCCGGGTGGGCACGTGAGCGACACGAAGCTGACCACGCTACTGCAACTGTAAAGAAAAGTGATGTTCTTCGTTCTGTGCTCCAGTCTGTGGTCCTGACACAAGGCAATGGTGTCAGAATGCTAAGCAGGAATGAATGAACTAGGAAAGAGTTTGGTACAAATATGAAACCCTAAAGGGGTTGTACCCCATACTGGCTACCCCACTATAGCCTAAAAATAAATAGCATATATATAATTTGACACACCCCCATACGCAAAGTGGGGGAGAGCAAGGGGTCACAAGACCAGTCAAGAGAAGCAAAGCAAGCTCAGGGTGGATCACAACGTCACCACACACACTGAGCACAAGCAAAAGGCCACAAGGCCAGTTCACATGCAGAGGTATATATGCAACAACAGCAACACAGTGATCACTACCTAGCAAGAGCAAGCATGCAGGTGTATTTATATAAGATCACTGTACACGCAAAGTCTACAGCAAGTGAGGAAACGTAGGCACAAGGCCTAATAAAGTACAAAAGCGCTGATGATCACCAGGCGGAAGTGCCTTGGTGAATATATCAGTAGTGTTGGCCCGAGTGGCCACGTAAGCAAGACGAGGCTGACCACGCTGCTGCAACTCTCGAGCAAGGAAGTAACGCAGAGCGATGTGCTTCGTTCTGTGCTCCAGTCTGTGCTCCTGACACAAGGCAATGGCCGCCTTGTTGTCTACGTACAGAACTGGAGGAGAACGAGGCCGCTCTCCCAAGTCGGTCAGCAGGTAGGTGAGCCAGCGTAACTCCTGTGCAGCCATGGCTGTGGCGTAGATCTTAGCCTCACAACTGGAGCCGAGAACAGAAGACGAGCGTGTGAACCGCCACGAAACAGAGCCAGAGCCAAGACTGAAGGTGTAACCCTGTGACGACCGCTACGTAGTCAGGTCGTCAACCCAAGAAGCGTCCAAGTGACCAGTGAGGACAACGTCGCCCCGTCCTCCAAGCACGAGCCCCATGCCCGATGTACTGCACATGAAGCGCAGTACCCTCTTAGCAGCATCCATGTGCACCTTTCGGTGCCTACCAGGAGCCACGTAGCGAGCCAGAAGGCCAAGAGGGTACGCAAGGTCAGGACGTGTGCAGGTCATCAGGTACATGAGGCAGCCCACTAGCTCTGGGTAAGGACCACTCGGCTCTACGGACTCGTCCGAAGGTGAAGCTGAGAGCGAGTGACCTGTAGCCAGAGGAGTGGACTGTGCCGAGGACCAGGTGAAGCCGAAGCGCTGAAGGACCTGCTGCACCATGTGTGACTGAGTCAGTGTGATGGTGCGCCGTGCTCTGTCCCGGGTGATCTGCAAGCCAAGGTAACTGCGCAGTTCACCCAGGTCTGAGCACGTGTGTCTCTTCTGTAGCTCAGACTTCACCAGAGCGAGAGCCTCAGTGTCAGCAGTGGCAAAGACCAAGTCGTCGACGTACACGAGGATGTAGAACGGCGGCAGCGAAGTGTCGGTGCGCAGAAACAACGACGGGTCAGCAGTGGAAGGAGCAAACCCAAGAGCCGCAAGTGTCGTCCTCAGTGTGTCGTGCCACTCACGCGGCGCCTGGCAGAGACCGTAGACTGGCCGCCGGAGGCTCCACTGGGTACCAGGAGGAAACGACCCAGTGAAGCCAGGTGGGCGGCGCAGCCAGATCTCCTCGTGCAGGCTGCCCTGTAAGAAAGCTGTGCTGAAGTCTAGAGAGTGAAGCTCGTAGTCACGCTGAGCGGCAACGTGCAGCAGCACCCGAAGAGTGGTCATCTTCGGGGTGGGGGAGAAGGTCAACTCCCTCCCGCTGACTGAAGCCTCGAGCAACGTAACGAGCCTTGAAGACAGGCGGAGAACCTGGCGGTCGCTTCACCCTGAAAATCCACATGCCATTGACGATGTTCGCCCCAGGAGGGGGAACCTCATCAACGTAAGTGTTTGTGGACTTCCAGGATGCCATCTCTGCGTCCATGGCTGCCTGCCACTGAGAGGAGTACTCACCCGCGATCGCCTCAGCGTAAGAGCGCGGGGTAGGGATGTCTGGAGCATCCGGGTCTCCCTCAGGGGCAAGCAGCATGGCCACGAGATGAGGCGCAGCGGCTGCAAGGCACTCAAGGTTCTCCAGCCTGTCCTTAAGGACGTCCGTGCCAAGAGCACACGCACCCCCGACGGACGGAGGACACACAGACCCAGACCCAGCAACAAGACTAGCGGCGTAGTCTAGACGACAGGCAGCAGCAAAGGCAACAAGCTCAGCGACTAAGGCAGATGCAGCAGCAGACTCAAACGACGGGTCAGTGACAACAGTGGCTAGCGACGCGTGACAGTAGGGTGAGCAGCACGAGCGCTGTCTGACTCAGGGTCTAGAACGGCAGGCAGGGAAGACGCAGGAGGGGACGGCAGGGGAACACGCTGCGGAGCAGAGGAAGGATGCAGGGCCATGAGGTGTGTGCCGGGGACAGCCGGCGGACGCTCACGAGGAACACGACGACCAGTACGACCAGCGCGGACAGTGCGAACAGGCGAGACAGGACGAGACGCAGGCTCACGACGCTCAG